ATAAATATAATGCTTGGTGAATAAAGTGATATAAAGGGAGAGATATTGAACTCCTGGGTTGAAAGACAAACACGTAGATTAGTTTTATTCCACGCGTTTGTAGCTGAGGCATGATCTTTGAAGCCAGTTTCTTAGAGAAGCTTTTTTGTAAGAATTTAATTTAAAAGAACTAATATGAATAATGAGGAGGGTCTTCATACCAAATAAGAATTTCGTCAACTCCTGTGATGACTTATTGTGGTATGTATTTTGTAATGTAACTTTTCTAAAATGAGAGTTTTATTCCATATTAGCTTCCAGGCCATTTAGTTTTGACCTACCATTGGCGTTTGCTACTGTCTCCTGGGATCTCTCTTTGAATGAGACTGCTGACTACTGAAGAAGTAAGGGAATCAGACAAACGTTCCACTAAAGTCACTCTCCTGAGCTGTTTTGGCTTTCCCTTTCTACTCATGATGCTATCATGCTGCCTAAGTTGAAAGAAAATATTAACCTTCTTTGTACTACTGTGATCTCGTGATAAGAAATATACACTTCATTCATTGTGCGTCATCAAGGCGGGCTAAGCTTTGAGCTCTTACATTATAATTCGTGTACTAGCTTGAACGCCCAACTTCACCAGGTGGGTTAAGTTTTGGGGTCTACAAGGTCACATCACTCCTCTGTTTGGTCTCCAGTGATGTGTGTGAAGTGAATATGATGACTTGAACACTGGCCGTGGCAAGGCTCATAAAACTAAAAGTGTTTTCAGGAAGAATGAAGGCTAAACCGTTACAGAATAAGGGACCCAAAAGTCGATGGAAAAGTCTATAGCGTGCAGATAATGCAAATATATCTTGGTCTAGGCCCAGTAGGCTGGCAGCCTTCTCTTTAACCAAATTTATTCACAAAACACAACTGTGTGTTGCAAAATTTTTTTAATTGACTATATGTAAAAAATTTTATAGCTTGTCAAAGGTCTTTATTAGCTAATTGAGCTAAATATGTGTTTGAAAGGATTCCCTTCAATCCCTCTAAATTGATGATCATGCCCCATTCATTGTAAAGGGCAGTGGTTGACATTATTTTAGGAGTTCCCATGTTTGTATCTTAGAATAAAGATCATTGGAAGACAGCCTTCCCCTTTTTCCCTCTAACTTAGCTTACTAACTTTAGTTTCTAAAAACAGTAAACATGGTGGATTGAACGTAATTGAGAATTTTAAGACAAAGCAAGGATATAACTTTAAAGTATGTTATATGAATCATGTGTTCACACTTTAATTAATTTTGTTTCTTTAAACTACATGCCTAATTGATTTATACGTATTAGTGGGTACATAGTCTTGTTCAAGCTCACTCTCGTGAATTTTACCTCCCCATTACATATTTTGTGAATTTTAAGGATATGAATTTTCCTTTTAGAATGAGAATAATGCTCGGTGTATACCATATGGCCACTGCGTTGGCTTTTTATAGTCAGCTGTCAATATAAAATTCTCTGATCATTGTATTGTGGTAACTTTGATATTATAGGAGACAGTGAAGATGAAAAGAAGATCATAAAATGTGCGCCAGCAACGGCAAGCAGCATCCAAAGCAGCTTCTAAACAGAGAGAGATGCTCATGGGAGGATGTGGGCAGTGAGGAAGAACAAGAAGAGAGGAGGCACCATTCCAGGAGGTACGTGACATTGGCTTGTGCACTTTGGTCATTTGTTGTGATTGTAGTTCGTGAATTTATTTTGGCATTTTGTGAATGTTAAATATTACAACCAGTCTTATATTAGGTGGATACTCCCTGTTAAAGAGATGACTGTTGGTAACCTATTAATTTTAAAAGTTCAGAGATTATCATGATTATCCACCATTTGTAATGTCTGCACTTTTTTTTTTTTTTTGAGACAGACTCTATTTGTTGCCCAGGCTAGAGTGAGTGCCGTGGCGTCAGCCTAGCTCACAGCAACCTCATCCCTGGGCTCAAGCAATCCTCCTGCCTCAGGCTCCCGAGTAGCTGGACTACAGACATGCACCACCATGCCTGGCTAATTTTTTGTATATATATTTTAGTTGGTCAATTAATTCTTCTTTATTTTTAGTAGAGACGGGGTTCCGCTCAGGCTGTTTCAAACTCCTGACCTCAAGCAGTCGCCCGCCTCGGCCTCCAGAGTGCTAGATTACAGCTGTGAGCCACGCGCCTGGCCTTGCACTCTTTTTTTGATGATATTTGTGCTCTAAACACTGAATGAACATTTGTTAAAGTAACAATTATGTAGGATGTTGTGATTGAATTTGCATTTTGCCTAGTGGCCTGGTTGTAACTCCTCCACCAAAAAATGTTAACAACAGGATTTAGATATTTTATAGATTATTAGATTAGTTAATTGTAATATATAGTATATATATTTGCTTTGTGCATAGTTTCTTTTTGTTTATTCCTAGTTGGACCAAAAATACCAGATCATTTCAGTTTCATTTCCCTTATCTCAGCTAATACTACATGGGAATGATGGAACTACCAAAAATAGTATTGATGGTTAAATTTTATTCAGATGGAGATTTTTTTTTTTTTCATTCAGCAAAATTTTTTTATTTGGATGAATTTTTTTATTCAGAATATTACAGGGGTACAAATATTTGGTTACATGAATACTTTTGTACATGTTAGTCAAAGTTATGTGTATGTCCATCACCAGATAGTGTGCAGTGTACCCATTAGGGTGAATCAGATTCAGTCTTACCCTTCCTGTTTTCAACCTCCTCTTCACACAAGTCAGCCATATAGTTCTCACGTGAGGTGCTCACTAAACCCATTTTACAGGTGAGGTCAGTGACAGCTCCTATCAAATTGGGTAGTACATTTACAAATACAGTCCAAGAGCGTTTGACTCCCAAATCCCATCCTCCAGTCATTCTTAGCACTGTCTCCTTGTTTCACTTGGAAGGATGTGTACATTGTTGGCGTTGAAATTCTCTTTCCTCTCAGAAATTCCGGCAGCGATGAAGATTTCCTAATGGAAGACGATGATGATAGTGACTATGGCAGTTCAAAAAAGAAAAAAAAAAGATGGTGAAGAAGTCAAACCTGAGAGAAAAGAAGAAAAATGCCAAACCCAGGCTAAAGGCTACAGGTAAGTTCTGCAGAAGTGAAATTAAAGGTACTGCTTGAAAATTTTGAGAACCAATACTTTCCTACAGAATTCTTTATTAGCCTTGGGATTGGCCTGATATTTAACAGGAATACAAAAAATGTAAAGGATCCTGTCTTCTACATCTAGAAGTATCACTTATTTTTAATAAGCCCTCCAAGAGTCTGGTGGGTTTAGCCTGTTCTTAAATACTGCCATACATAAGTAAGATTTGGAATGACCTTTTGTTTCAGGCACAATGTTGGAACACACGTATCAACATAGCAGTTACTGCCTTTCCCCCACCCCACTGGTATCACAGTCCCAGCAGCTAACAAAGACTCGAAACTGTGAAAATGCACAAACCTACAGTAATGTATTTGAATTCTATGTTCTGATCTCTACTCCATCCTCTGTGCTATCAGAATATAACCACACTTGATGGCGAATTCATTTTCTCTGTTTCTAATGGGTTCTGCCAGATATTCTCCTAGTTGGGAACTAATTTGTTAATTAAATCAGAAATCAGTTTGCCTCTTGGAAAGTGATTTTATTCTGACAAATAGAACTAGTGATTTTTAAACTTTTGCTCATCATTTCTTTTTTTTTTTGAGACAGAGTCTCACTTGTTGCTAGGCTAGAGTGAGTGCCGTGGCATCAGCCTAGCTCACAGCAACCTCAAACTCCTGGACTCAAGCGCAATCCTCCTGCCTAGCCTCCTGATTAGCTGGGATTATAGGCATGCGCCACCATGCCGGCTAATTTTTCCATATATATTAGTTGGCCAATTAATTTCTTTCTATTTATAGTAGAGAGGGGTCTCCTCTTGCTCAGGCTGGTTTCGAACTCCTGACCTTGAGCAATCCGCCCGCCTCGGCTCCCAGAGAGCTAGATTACGGCGTGAGCCACCGCGCCCGCCTCATCATTCTTACTGTTGAGAATGATATTTGATGGCTTCAGTTTCTACTCAGATTAAATCTTATCTTCCTCTTTTTGACCTCTTTAAAGATAAACAACTTTTATCATAAACAACTTTTAGATCCACAAACCGTTAAAAATAATGTGCATTTCTATACCATCTTGTTTCTTCATTATAAGCATTACTGCTAACATAACATTAGAGTGTTGGTAAAAAACTGATTGGAAACTACTATAGCATATTGTAGTAATTTATCATGACCAGTTTAGAAATTCAGGTAGATTTATCTAGGGATAAATGTGTACCCTAGTGCCACTTTGGATTTGGTAAGTCTGGATGTTTTTGTTTTGTAGCTAGTTTTTGTTAAAGACATTTTTTCTCTTCCCTTCCCCAAATTGTTATATTTCTACTTTCAGTGACACCAAGTCCAGTGAAAGGCAAAGGGAAAGTGGGTCGCCCCACAGCTTCAAAGGCATCAAAGGAAAAGACTCCTTCTCCCAAAGAAGATGACGAGGAACCAGAAAGCCCTCCAGAAAAGAAAACATCTGCAAGCCCCCCACCGAGAAGTCTGGGGATGAGGGTCTGAAGATGAAGCCCAGTCTGGGAGGATTAAAAGTGATGATGGTTTGGGGAGAGATTTTATTAAAAAAGGAAAAAAAAAAGAAAAAAGAGGGAGAGTCTCGCTCTTGCTCATGCCAGTTTCGAACTCCTGACCTCAAGCAATCCGCCCGCCTCAGCCTCCCAGAGTGCTAGGATTACAAGGTGTGAGCCACCACGCCTGGCTGATCTACTTGTTTCTTAAAGTTAGATTTCTAAACAAATCACTTCTGGGTGCCAGCTTAGAGCTAAATCAAGGGAAACTATGATTTCAAACATTTTATGCTATATTTTAAGTTAATTATTTGCTTTACTAGGATGGAAACTCTGGCCGTATTCTCTCACTTCCTCGCCCCAGAATTAACACAACATTTATTTCACAATATTTGTCCAGGACTTTACTACTGAAACAGGGGCCTACCCATGAGTAATGCTGATTTCTCCTCGTGGTTACCCAGCCAAAACATGTCAAAATGGGGACCTGTTCATTCTATTAATAGAGGGAAAGAGAAGCATGCCATCAAGATAAAGGAACACAAGGTACCACATTACCTTGAAAACAAATCTCAGTATTCACTGTGAACACATACCACTGATGCTTATGCAAGAAGCAAGGCTTTTGAGCTGGAAGGCAATTTCAAAGGCAACACCTGTTTCAAAATAGGGCCAAGAGTTCATAGCTGCATTTTGAAATCTGAATATACACTTTCATTTTGGGATGTTATCCACATAGGCTTGAGAGATGTAAAAAGGGAACAACGTAAGAGGACAGATGTGCATAAATCAAGAGATCCTATTTTCCATTTAAAATCCAAAAAAGATCCTAGCACTCTGGGAGGCCGAGGTGAGTGGATCATTTGAGCTCAGGAGTCCCAGACCAGCCTGAGCAAGAGCAAGATCCCGTCTCTACTAAAAATAGAAAGAAATTAATTGGCCAACTAAAAATATATACAAAAATTAGCCGGGCATGGTGGCGCATGCCTGTAGTCCCAGCTACTCAGGAGATTGCTAGACAGGAGATTGAGGTTGCTGTGAGCTAGGCTGACGCCACGGCACTCACTCTAGCCTGGGCAACAAAGTGAGACTCTGTCTCAAAAAAAAAAAAAAAGAGTGCAGACATTACAAATGGTGGATAATCATGATAATCTCTGAACTTTTAAAAATTAATAGGTTACCAACAGTCATCTCTTTTAACAGGGAGTATCCACCTAATATAAGAGACTGGTTGTAATATTTAACATTACACAAAATGCCAAAATAAATTCACGAACTACAATCACAACCAAATGACCAAAGTGCACAAGCCAATGTCACGTACTCTCCTGGAATGGTGCCTCATCCTCTTCTTCTTGTTCTTCCTCACTGCCCACGTCCTCCATGAGCATCTCTCTCTGTTTAGAAGCTGCTTTGGATGCTGCTTGCCGTTGCTGGCGCACATTTTTATGATCTTCTTTTTCATCTTCACTGTCCTCTATAATATCAAAGTTATCACAATACAATGATTAGAGAATTTTATATTTGACAGCTGACTATAAAAAGCCAACGCAGTGGCCAATATGGTATAAACCAGCAGATTTCATTCTAAAAGGGAAAATTCTATCCTTAAAAATTTCCATAAAATATGTAAATGGGGAGGTAAAATTCACAAAGAGTGAGCTTGAACAAGACTATGTACCCACTAATACGTATAAAATAACTTAGGCATGTAGTTTAAAAAGAAGCAAAAATTAATTAAAGTGTGAACACATGATTCCTATAACATACTTTAAAGTTATATCCTTGCTTTGTCTTAAAATTCTCAATTACGTTCAAATCCATGTTTACTGTTTTTAGAAACTAAAGTTAGTAAGCTAAGTTAGAGGGGAAAAGAGGGGAAGGATGTCTTCCAGTGATCTTTATTCTAAGATATAAAACATGGGAACCCTAAAATAATGTCAAACTACTGCCCTTTACAATGAATGGGGCATGATCAATTCAATTTAGAGGGGATTGAAGGGAATCTTTCAAACACATATTTAGCTCAATTAGCTAATAAAGACCTTTGGACAAGCTTATAAAAATTTTTTTACATATAGTCAATTAAAAAAATTTTGCAACACACAGTTGTGTTTGTGAATAAATTTGGTTAAAGAGAAGGCTGCCAGCCTACTGGGCCTAGACCAAGATATATTTACATTAGTCTCCAGCTATAGACCTTTTCCTCGACTTTTGGGTTCCCTTATTCTGTTACGGTTTAGCTGTCATTCTTCTGAAAACACTCTTAGTTTTATGAGCCTTGCCACGGCCAGTGTTCAAGTCATCACTTTCACTTCCACAACTCACCTAGAGACAAACAGAGAGTAATGCTGACCTTGGTAGACCCAAAACTTAACCCACCTGGTAGAAGTTGGGGGTTCTAACTAGTACAGAATTATAAATGTAAGAGATTCAAATTAGGGTTTATAGAGCAAATGAATGAAAGTGTATATTTCATTATCACAAGATCACTAGGTAGTACAAAAGGTTAATATAATTTCTTTTCAACTTAGGCAGCCAGATAGCATACATGAGTAGAAAGGAAAGCAAAACAGCTCAGGAGAGTGACTTTAGTGGAACTTTGTCTATTCCTTACTTCTTAGCTAATCAGCAGTCTCATTCAAAGAGAGATCCAGGAAGACAGTAGCAAAGGAATGTAGGTCAAAACTAAAGTGGCTGGAAGTAATATGGAATAAAACTCTCAATTTTTAGAAAAGTTAAATTTAAAAATAAATACCAACAAGTCAAGTCATCAGGATTGAACATTTTATTTGGTATGAAGACTCCTCATTAATTCATATTAATTCTTTTAAATTAAAATTCTTACAAAAAAGCTTTCTCTAAGGCAACTGCTTCAAAAGACTATGCCTCAGCTACAAAGAGTGGGAATAAAACTAATCTGTGTTTGCTTTTCAACCCAGAGTCAATTATTCTCCCCTTTATATACCTTTATTTCACCAAGCATTATATTTATATATTATTCTATTTAGTTTGATGTCTTTTATTTGTTCATGTAAATAGTTTTCAATCTTGACTATGCATGAGAATAATCTGTCGATAATTTTAAAAAACAAAGCTCCAATGTCCAATCTAGGCCAACTGAATCAGAAATTTGGAGGTGAGACTCAGAATACACATTTTAATCAATTAATTAATTTATTTATTTTCTATGTCCTAAGTTACCACGCAAAAAATATGCATTTAAAAAAGCTTCTTAGGTGACGGTTATAAGCCACCGAGGATTAAGAATCATTATTAACTCTTTGAAGATGGAGACATCTTTGTAATCCCAGATTTACAACAGCATCTGGCATATAAAATCGCTTGTTAAAACGTCTAATGAATAAATATATGACTAGAATTATATCTGTTCCATTAAAAACAGTTTACTACCTGCTGAGTGAGAATCATCCTTCTTGGTCTTCACATCTTTTTCTTCTGAGTCCTCACTATAAGGGCAAGGGGAAACAGTAAATGCTTAGAAGTCTTAGATCAAAATCTAAATGAACACAGATATCTGATTTCTGACTTTAGGAGAACTGGAAAATACCTCCTTTATATATAAAATGTTTAAATAGATGCCAAGGAGTAAAACTGCTTCCATTATTTCCTCACTTTACAGAGATTCTGATGAATAAGCAGAATTTTATCTACTTCGGAAAACTTAGGAAAACAAGGCTTCCAAAGACCCAAAGGAAAAGCTAACTCAACACAGGTTAAAAATTTCTCATCTATGGATTAGGCCTGATTCACAAGAATATTTAATAAGAAAAATGTCCTCTATGGACAGAGGTAGAATATAAAAATACTAAAAATAAATGAATGTGTTAATGGTGACTAATTAGGCAAATATCTCTAAACATAGATGCAAAACACACCTAAAATACCTAAAAATTAAAGGAAATTAAGAGTTCAGTTACATAACTTACAATATACCTTAAAATTTATTTAAAACAAAATGAAAATAAATCAATAATTATCTCTTAACAATTTTTGTTTCCACTATTTCTTTGCATCAGAAACATCAACAGATAGGCCTGCCTTGTGCCATGGAGAAAATAAAAGTGAGCTCAAGAAGGCTCTGCTAAGTAAGAAGAAGCTTCAAAGTTCAATAGATAGGGTTTAAAGTGATAAATATACAAATATCATATCTTTTTTCTTTTTTTTTAGAGACAGAGTCTCCCTTTGTTGCCCAGGCTAGAGTGAGTGTTGTGGCGTCAGCCTAGCTCACAGCAACCTCAAACTCTTGGGCTCAAGCGATCCTCCTGCCTCAGCCTCCCGAGTAGCTGGGACTACAGGCATGCGCCACCATGCCCGACTAACTTTTTCTATATAAATATATGTTGGCCAATTAATTTCTTTCTATTTATAGTAGAGACAGGGGTCTCGCTCTTGCTCAGGCTGGTTTCAAACTCCTGACCTCAAGCAATCTGCCTGCCTTCGCCTCCCAGAGTGCTAGGGTTACAGGCGTGAGCCACCGCGCCCGGCGACATATTATGTCTTCACAAGTCTTAACTCAGAAAGCTAGGTTCTAGTGTCCTTCTTTGTAATTAATTAGTTGTAAGACCTTAGGCAAATCACTTGGTACTCTTCAGTGCTAAAATTTTATGATTCCATGAGAAATTCTGATGGACATAATGGACAAAAAAGAAACACTTGTACGTAAAAAAATGCCCTCACAGCTTCCCTTTCTCAAACAGCAGGTCTTATAAATCTGCAGTCCCCAGCCCCCAGGCTGCTAACCATGTCAGGGACCAGGTGGGTCAAGCTTCTCATAGCTCCTATCACTGCCTGAGCTCCGCCTCCCCCTACCCTGGAAAAACTGTCTTTCATGAAATTGGTCCACCGTGCCAAAAAGGTTAGGGACTGCTGTATATCATTTTTGGCATTCCCCATAATCTTGATCACACTCAAATGACAAACTAGTGAACCCAAGATTCCTAAGCAAAGAAATAAACAAATATCATTTCTTTACTAAGCAATCCGAGTACAAGAAACTTTATAATAATTTTGAAACCTGAGACTATTCTACATAAATGATTTTATAAAAACTAAGCATTGAGGGCCAGGAGCAGTGGCTAACACCTATAAATCCTGGCACTCTGGGAGGCCGACGTGGGTGGAGTTTGAGACCAGTCTGAGCAAAAGTGAGACCCCGTCTCTACTAAAAATAGAAAGAAATTAGCTGGACAACCAAAATACATATAGAAAAAAATTAGCCATGCATGGTGACAGCTAGGCTGACACCACGGCACTCTACCTGGCAACGGAGTGAGACTCTGTATCAAAAAAAAAAAAAAAAAAAAAAGCATTGAATTCACAATTCCAACACAATGATGAAGAATTATATTATTTTCTCTAGTTGTTTTTATTGAGTTTATAGAGACTATTAATCTTTTTTTTTTTTTTTTTTTGAGACAGAGTCTCGCTTTGTTGCCCAGGCTAGAGTGAGTGCCGTGGCATCAGCCTCGCTCACAGCTACCTCAAACTCCTGGGCTCAGCAATCCTACTGCCTCAGCCTCCCGAGTAGCTGGGACTACAGGCATGCGCCACCATGCCCGGCTAATTTTTTATATATATATCAGTTGGCCAATTAGTTTCTTTCTATTTATAGTAGAGACGGGGTCTCGCTCTTGCTCAGGCTGGTTTTGAACTCCTGACCTTGAGCAATCCGCCCGCCTCGGCCTCCCAGAGAGCTAGGATTACAGGCGTGAGCCACCGCGCCTGGCCGAGACTATTAATCTTTGAGCATCATTACAGCAAAGTCAAGTGAAAGCTGAACTTTTAAGTAGAAACCGAAAAGAATCAACATAGCACTGGTCTGAGAGAACAAACATACAAGTCATCTAATACAAATGGCAATAAAAACTCAATCATTCCTGACACTTAAATCAAGCGATTACAACAAGAAAAAAATTTAAGCTAGATATAATTACATGGATGAGACACAATAACAGTCCATGAAGCAGCCAATTCCTAGGAGAAACATAATAACTGAATATAATGAACAATAGTTCTGTATTGGAGCTGCTACATAATACTGTTTTAGGGATATACTATGAAATCTGGAAGACTTGTTCCCAACAGCATAATTTGTATTATTTTTCCTCAAAAGCATATTTCTAAAATTCTCCAGAAAGGGCATAGTAGAGGTTAACAAATAAGCCAGCAAAATATATTAGGTAAATGCAAGTATTTTATTGTGATTTCCGTGCTCCAAAGTTCTTAGAAGATCCAGGAGAAATATCATTTCATTTCTTGAACTGCTCATTCATTCATAATGGTATTATTTTGGAATGTATGAGCCTTATGGTTAAAATATGGACTTTGGGATTGGGCACAGTGGTGCACACCTATAATCCCAGCTACTTGGGAGGCAAGGTGAGGATATGCTTGAGCCAGGAATTCAAGACCAGTCTGGGCAACATAGCAAGACTTGTCTCAAAATCAAATCAAATCAAATCAAAAAATGGACTTTGGAATCCAAACAGACATGGTTTCAAAATCTGTTTGTGCATTTGCCCTGAGTAACCTTGGTTAAATCACTGAACTCCTCTAAGTTAGTATTATTTATCCTAATAGATGAGTGTGAGAATTAATGATGCTGTATGTAAAGCAATATAATAGAGACTGGACATAATTTCCATAAAAAGGTAGCCATCATCATCACCATCATCATCATCAAGGGGTCTTAAAAGTTTACTCTAACACTGGTAATGAGGATATGTGTGTATACCTTTAAAACAGGCATAAGTTTATAATATCCTGGTCTTATGAGGCAAAATTATAGTTAAAATTATTACTTACATGAACTCCATTTGTAAAACTAACGGAAAAGAAACCATCCAATATGATTAAACTATTTAAACAAAAGAAAATTGATTATGATACAACAAAACTCAGCCACACAACTTAAGATTCTATAAGCTTTCCTTATAATCTTGCAATGATAAGTGACTGAATGAAAGACATCACTTATTTTTTGTTGTCACTATAATAAAAGTATCCAGGGGGGAGGGAAATGGGCATTTATTGAAACCTTAAAATCTGTACCCCCATAATATGCCAAAATAAAAAAAAAATAAAAAAAATAAATAAATAAAAGTATCAATATACCAACCTTAGGTAACAAATTACATACTATAAGCAGCAGCCTGAAAATAATATGAAATAGGCAAAACATTAAGTGGACCATAACAACTTTCCAAAAGTATATAAAGATTCCACCAATTTAAGAGATCAGAGACTGTCCTCATCTCAGAGTGGCCACAGTGTAATGGAGGATCAAGAAGCAGACAATGCCTCTTACCTATCTTCCTGTGAATTCTTTCCAGATCCGCCTCTTATGTTTTAGCTTCTCGGGAGATGATCGAATTTTCTTAGCAGGAGGGCCAGAATCTCTTCCATAACTTCTTCATCTAAACAGAGAATTTTTCAAATTCCATTAACTTATATTATGATTTTTAAGCAGTTAAAATCACCACTGTATTTACTGACATAATTATCTCTTATGCTGTTTAAATGGAAAGAGAGACAGGACTTCCCAACTAGTTCGTTTTTAAAATTAAATTCTTTTCCATCCCAGCCCCACCACCTTAACTCTATTTTTGCATATTATCCTCTAGTCCTCATGTATATAATATTTCATATATCTATAGCTAAATACTCTTATCATTTTTATATCTTACCCTTTTGATTGATAAGATTTTTCATATTTTAATATCTTCATATTTATTTAAAAATTATAGTAATATAATTATATTACAAGCATTTTAGAAACTACAATTCTACATGACATACTATATTATCAAGCAAATTACTTCAAACAAAATTATTAAATACAACATACTCTGCACTTGAAGAAATACTCCAATTTCAAAAGCTCTATAAAACTAAAGAAAATGACCCCCCCTTTTTTAAAAAGGTAATTACTGTGCTCCACAAACTGTTTTGCTCGGCAG